TAAGTGGTACATGTAAAAACAACATTAAAGAAGGGCCGCACACCCTTCCAGATAGGGCACGCGTCGTCACTGATATCCAGTTATAAGTATTTATGCCGTATATGAAATATCTATTAAACAATGGTATCTAAAAAAAGTATCTACTTAGTAAACTTGATACGAATTTATGGAAAGTAAATAAAAAGAAAGTAGTCGAAGAAAATATTTAGACTTTGAAAAATGTTTCTTGAAAGTAACTCTAAAGTTTGTGACAGACATGTCCGTCATTGCATTACTTGGATGCGATCTATTCACACAAAATCGGCAATTTGGATCTTGGGAAAAGTTTAATAAAAAGATAAATAACCATAGTTATATAGTAATAAGAAGGAAAGCATATGGCATAACAAATACAAAATATACTGTATTATATTTGTAGATGTTATCTTAAAGCTGAGCATCATATTAAGTTTTTCAAGTTAGGAATAGGCATTTCGTATCAATAATTTAGTTTATATTCATCTTGTTAAACTTTTCCTGTCATTTGCTTTTAGGTCCAAGCGCGTTAGCACACAACAACAATAAATTTTATAATGTACAATGGAAATGGAAAATAATTTTTATTATTATTTATTACTTTCCAAATCATGAACTAGTGAAGAGACTAGTGCCACGGTGTATGATACGGAGACAATTTACATCATTCTAAATCTTATGAATTAGTGAAAAGACTAGTTTCGAGGTGTATCGTAATGGGATAATTGACACCGGTAATGACAACTCAATGTAAAATTCTTCAGTTGAGCCCACGTAAAGTGGATTATGAAGCCTGGTGAATAGAGAATTTACTAATTCAGAACGAATCGCAGGCACTGCTGGGAATTAAGAAGTAATTGAAGATGTGCTGCAGTATGAAGATGTGTATTTTTGGTTTATGTTCTTCCTAAGAGCGATGATATAAGTAAGATCAATTACACTTTCATCAGTAAAATAATATAATTTTTATGTTTTCTATATGCATGTTTACATGAGCTTAATTGATCATATACTACGAGTATTACGTAGCACATATGAAAAAAAGAAGAAATTTAACATAGAAGTTCATCTTTGTATTTATAATTTAAGTACTAATAAAAAATTTAAGTATTTTAAACACTTGTATCAAAATATAGATATTTATAGAGTATATGAAGCAAATTATTTTGTTCTTATTGTTTGTAATAATCACTTTAATATATCCAAAACCTTACCTTTTCTGGATTATAATGTCCACCGGTGCTTAAGCAGCCATTAGTCAAATCGCCTTTCTCATGCACATGAAATCCGTGTTTACCAGGTGTGAGTCCAGTGACATAAATACGAATGTAAACATTTTCACCGCAAGCATTTTGTGTGAATGTAATGTTTCCTTTTACTTGGGAAACACCTGCTGGATCATCAAGATACGCTATAGCTTGTATAGGTGCGATTTTCTAAAAATCAAATAATTATTTATAATTAATTTACACTTTATTATTCAGATTTGAAGTATTTTTAAAAGTGCTTACCTCGGCGCGTACAGCCACTACACATAAGGCCAAGGCTGCCACAATTACATGATTGGAGAACATTTTATTCATTAACTAATTATATTTGTGCCTAAAATTATGTATTAAAAAAAACAAATTAAATATAATTTTTATTCAAAGGAATAGTGAATACCAATAAATTAACTATAATTTCGTTTAACACAAATAATATTGTTGACGCATTCCTATTAAATTAAATTGCTCAATGAAAATGAGTATTTTTTAAATAAAATATCAACTATTTCAAAGTTTATTTAAATAAAAATGAAAGCACTTTAGACAAACAACTTTTCCTATCCACAGTTCCCCACAAAGTGATAGTCAGTCGTCAGATGCCATATAATAGCCTATGATGATGATTTACATTACATGTGATTACATATAGAATTTGTAAAAATTAATTTTAATTTAATATTAAAGCGTTTAAAATGTATATAAAAAAATACATATTTGACGCAAATTCCGAACATGAAATTTATTGGTGTTCATACTTCCATATACGATATATTCACACATATATTTTGTTAACCCCACCCCTGTAGCAATTTTAGTTTATTCAATTGAAACTTTGTATTGCGGTTGAATTTAACTAAATTTGTAGGTCAGTCTGCAGTAAATGATATAACAGTTTATGACTATACAGGGTCAATAGAACGCTTATGAAAACTTATAATATATAATATTTAAGTATATTATTAAATCAAATTCATAGGTAATATATACGATATATGTGCGTTATGAAAACAATCATTGTTGTAAACAAAAATTATTTATCTAGGCTAGTGTCCACAGTATTAATAATGCAAATATACTAGATAATTGTTTGCTTAATACCTTTTTTTGGATCGTCTATGTGCAGCGAAACGATTGCTAGATTCGTAAGAGTAGAAACAGGACTGTTAGAATTATTTTATATTTATATAAAAGAAAACACCGACAATTTATATATATATTTATTAATATGTATTTATTGTTCATTCAAACACAACCCGTCACTTCAATGTTCAAAATTATACTAAACTCTAAAAGGCATTATTCGCCTCAATATGCTCGTATGCTCTTTACACAATAAGCAAATTCCAGGAACAGGCAACAACAGCAACGCATACGAGACATGACGCCCGTCTGCCTATTGCGATCAGTGACTTCCTTGAAATTGAATCTACGTGATCAATGCATTTTGTTATTGTAAACAAAACTATAGAAACAAAGTACAGTTCTATTCAGTGACTGTATGTCCAACACACCTCCTCAAAATACATTGATCATTACATGGCAATTTTAATTTTATTTTATTTACATAACAATTTCAATTTTATTTTATTTACATAACAATTTTAGTTTTATTTTATATCTATGACGGGTTATGTATTCTGGGACATTACAATATCATGGTCCAACATTTGTTGCTAGAATTGGGGAAAACCCAGTAAAACCCAATTAGACCATTACTTAAATAATTGTTCTTATTTCTATATCTTATTAATTAAGTCCAATTTGACTTCTTAATTCTATAAATCTTATTGCAGGTAATGGCTTTGTTAAAATATCTGCCAATTGGTTACCCGTCGCAATATACTCAATATCAATTAATTTATTTTCAATTTGTTCTCTAGAAAAATGATACTTAATATCAATATGTTTAGATCTTTTGTGACATGAAGGATTACTTGCTATACATATACAGCCTTGATTATCTTCAAAAATTTTTATTGGTTCTTTAATTTCAATCTTAATACTTTTTAATAATGAATTAAGCCATAACGCTTCTCTTACAGCTTCAAACAATGCCATATACTCTGCTTCTGTTGAAGAAGCTGCAACAGAGTTTTGTTTCTTTGTATTCCAGCAAATGACACATGACTCGAAAATTTTAAATAAATAACCAGTAGTACTTCTTCTGTCACTCTCACTTCCACCCCAATCAGAATCAACATAACCAACAAACATATGTTTGTAATTTAGATTTTTAATATAGGTTAATCTTAAATCTATAGTCCCCTTGAGATATCTCAGGACTCTTTTAAGACATTGCCATAATTCTTTATTATTTTTATTACTATATCGACTTAGAATATTTACAGATGTACTCAAATCCGGTCGTCTGCATAACATAATGTACATTAAGCAGCCAATTAAATTACGACACGGTGCATCATATTCCTCATCTGAGTTTAAAGCCTCATAATTGAGCTTGCTCGGTAGTGGAGTGCTAGCTGGTTTACAATCATACATTTTAAATTTTCTTAAAACATTTTTTATATAAGCTGATTGACTTAGATGTATCTTATCATCAGTTCTTTCAATTCTTATTCCAATAAAATATTTAATTTCAAATAAATCGGTCATTCTAAATTTGCACATCAAATAATTCTTGAACCTGGTCATAATTTCAATATCTACTGTTGCTATTACTAAATCATCTACATACAACAATACATACAAATTTTTAAGTATGTTACCATTATCAAGAATGTAAATGCAACGATCAACAGCTGAATTTATAAAACCAATTTCTTTTAATGTCTGCTCAAAAATTTCAAACCAACATCTTGCTGCCTGTTTAAGTCCATAAATTGCCTTATTTAACCTACAGACTTCATTTCTACCGCAGGTTAAACCTTGAGGTGCTACCATATATATTTCTTCTTTTAATACCCCATTCAGGAAAGCAGTTTTTTACATCCATGTGATGAACTTTTAGATTGAATTGGTTTGAAAATGATATCATGAATCGAAAACTAGAGACTCTTGCCACTGGAGCAAACGTTTCATCATAGTCAACTAAATATTCTTGCGTGAATCCTCTTGCCACAAGCCTAGCTTTATATTTAACTACTTTACCCAGTTCATTATGTTTTATTGAAAAAACCCATTTGCAATCAACTATATTTTTATTTTCTGGTTTTGGTACAAGAGACCATGTTTTATTATAAATATGAGAATCAAGCTCTTCTTTAATAGCTTCCTCCCAATGTAATCTATCATTTCTATATTTGATTTCATTAAATGAATTCGGAGTGCTATTAACAAATGCCTGTGCATTCATCATGCAATTTTTGAAAAATAAGTCATTTTCTTTGTATGACATCTGTGGCCGCTGTTTCAATCTTTCACTTTTTCTAACATTAAATTCTGAGATTTGCAACTGACTATTGTTTTTATTTGCATCCTTTACAGTTTCATCAGTATTAACTGGACCTGCATTGTTTTCACTTGATATGAGACCACTAGGCTGTTTATCTGACTTTAATTGATCAGATTTCCTTTCCGTACTCTCATTCGGGAAAATTGAATTAATTTCTTCCTTACTCTCATTCGGGAAAACTGAATTAATTTCTTCCGTACTCTCATTCGGGAAAACTGAATTAATTTCTTCCGTACTCTCATTCGGGAAAACTGAATTAATTTATTCCGTACTCTCATTCGGGAAATTTTTATTAGAGTCATTTAATTGTACTCTGTCTTTTACTACAGTCCTAGAATTTATCATATTTGTCTCATCAGCAATAATATCTCTTGCTGTCACAAATTTCCCAGCTTCCACATCCCATAATTTATACCCATTTGGTTCATATCCGACAAGTATACCTTTCCATGATTTTTCATCAAATTTTCGTTTTCTTGTTTTTATATGTACATATACTGTTGAACCAAATACTTTTAAATACTTCAAATCAGGCTTTCTATTATGCCACATTTCGTATGGTGTTTTCATACCGTCTTTCAATGCTTTACTTGGACTTCTATTAATTAAATATGTTGCTGTTAAAACAGCTTCACCCCAGAAAGTTTTATCTAGTTTTGCTCCACTTATCATAGCACGAGCTTTCTCTGTAATCGTCCTTATCATGCGTTCAGACACACCATTTAACTGTGGGGTATGTGGAACTGTTAAGTGATAACTAATGCCTTTCTGAACACAATAGTCTCGCATCTCTTTTGACAAATATTCTCTACCATTGTCAATATACAAATTAACAACTTTTAAGTTGAAATGAGTTTCACTTTTTGTGATGAAGTTTTTAAAAATGGCAAAAACATCAGATTTAAAAGTCATTAAGTAACTAACACAGTAATGTGTATACTGATCAACAAAAACTATATAATAGTTTTTTTCATCGAGTGTAGAAGGTGTGATCGGACCACAGACATCTGAGTGAACCACAAATAAAGGTCTTCTAATATAATCCTTATTTTTATTCTTATTAAAACATAATCTAGTTTGTTTACCATTTATACAGGCCTCACATAGTTCATTACCTGGCTGTACATCTTTCAATAGACTAGTATCACTAAACATTTTTTTGTTTTTTTATTTCTAAAAATTTTGTTCTGCTAACATGTCCTAATCTTTCATGCCACAATTGATAATTACTGTTTAGAATAGACTTAAATGCACAAACTTTTTTATACAGTGTAAACTTAACAATTTGTACATTATTTACACACTTATCAAAAATAATTACTTTACCGTTTTTCTTTACTTCAACACCTCCTGGTTTAAATTGTATAGTCATCCCAGCATCTTGCATTTTCTTAATTGAGAGTAAGTTGTGCGGAACATTTTCACAGAACAAAACATCTTCCAAAGTAAGGCTATTTTGAAAATTGTTGCACAGTTTCACTATACCTTTTTTTTGTTGCATAAATATACTCTCCACATTTTGCGATTGTTATTTGAACCGGGAAAACCAAGTTGATGTAATCCTCAAACAAACTGTCATTATTTATTATATGATCAGACGCCCCAGAGTCCAAAAGAAATGACACATTTTTGTCTTCAGCAATTTTAGTATTTTTGCTTATCATAAACGCAAAGCCTTTACCTGCTGGAACTTCTGCAATATTCGCTACTTTCTCATTTTTAGAACTTTTATTTAGTAGCCTTTTGTACACATAACAGTCCTTCTTGATGTGACCTTTTTTTCCACAGTGATGACATTTTATCATCATTTTAGAACGGTTTTTAAAGGTTTTAAATTTGTTTCTGTTTTTAAAATAATTTGTATTTATTTTATTTTTATAACTTTCATTTTTGCATACCACTTGTAAAATTTTTGTGCTAGTCTCTTTAGATTCACTTTTTAATTTTATCTCATGATCAAATAACCGATTTTTTACAAATGCTAGCGTTAAATTATCTTCGGATAATGTCTCAATGGCAGTTATAATTC